CGACAGGGCCGTGAAGGTGGGGCCGCAAGGGGCCGCTAAGGGCGGCGCGACGGGTCGCTAAGGGGAGGGCGGCACACAGGGCGCGCCTCGGTCAGGGGCGACTCAATCTCAGGGCAGGAAAAAAAAAAAAACTCGATTTTCAGTGGTGGGCCCTAGGAAAAGTTCCCACTAGGGAACCTGCTCTATACCATGTGAAGAAATGAGGAATGAATGAACTAGCAAGCAGGTGGGTACAAGTAGGAAAACCTAAAAGTGTTGTACCCCATATTGTCTACCCCACTACAGCCTACACAGACTATAGCATATGAGTTTGACAAGATGACACATTGCGAGGAGGATAAGATCCCAAACAACTCGTTTTGGTCCACAAATTCCACACAACCGAGGCGCGTTTTCTGACGACGGTTCAAATTTGGTGGACAGAAGTGCGGGAAAGGGGAGGTTCAAACTTTCAAAGGCTATGTGTTGACGTCACTGCACAAACGCCGCCGAAGGAGGAATCATCGTCAACGTCTTGGGAAGCTGCTTTGATGGATGGCAACGACACGGTAGCCCCTAAGCGGCTTAAAGGCCACACCCCGAATTACACAACGAAGTCAACTAAAAACTTGTAGGTTCGGGAAACCCCAGAGACAGGTTTGGTGGGGAAATCAAGAACCAATCGCGTCAAAAACCCACTCAAAACCCTCGACCAATCACACGAAAGTGGTGACAGTTTTGGGGCCGACACGGTAATTCTGGATGTGTCCTTTAAGCTTCTGTCGCCTTGGCACACACATGTGGGCACGTTTCGGTGGGTGCTTCCCTTCTCCTCCTGTAAGTTTCCCAACTCCGAGGGGTGATCGGCACGCCCTCGAAACTCCGCTTAGGGAAGTTGCGAGGGTCGTGAGCGCGATTTCCCTCAACGCACTGTTGCGGCCGGCCCAGACTGCCCCACTCGTGACCAAGAAAACGAATTCCCTCTAAGGGGTAACTTATCCAGAAAATGACAACATCAAGAACCACTGGGAGTTGGGGGAATGAAAAAATTTGAAGATATTTGAAGGCTTCCCCGAAAACAAAAAAAAAGTAAAATTTGCGGCACTGTTGGGTTCACCCTTCGCGGGCTTAAAGCCCGAGGTCAGCATGGTAATTTTTCAAGTTATGTAGGGTTGAAACAGTTAGGCGAAAACCTGAAAATCGTGAATTTCGAAAATGTGTGTGGGGCGAAACCGAATTCAGGAGGCGGGGAAAACAATCTTCGCCACGATACTATGCGACAGCTGTCCCCGAGGATATGGGAGGGCCGAACGACCCAGTGTGCGACAGAGCACTACTCCCGCCCCAGCACTGGTGGGGCACACTGCGCTTCTCTTGGGGTTGAAATGGTGGGGAACGCGAAACTCACGCGAGCAAGAGTGAGGCACTACACTTAACAATATTTCCTGTGATTACTAATCGACTAAAATATTTGGATAAGTTTGAGACTTCACTTCAGAATAACATAAAAAAATGAAGTGCTGAATTGGCATAGAAAAGCAAATTGTGAATCATGAAAATTACATATCAAAAAACACATTAGCAATGCATTTCCAAGAGTACACTCTCAAGCTCAGATCCCGCAACTCATAAGGGTCTCGGCCGGCCACATAGGAACATGTCGTGCCTTTCCCTGCACCAATCTGCACTCCCCCGGCCCACCGCAGCGCAGACCAGCCTTGCCCCACCGCACATGCCCTGACGTGCGCTGCCGCCAGCATCCTGCCGCACATCCTGCTGACACTGACAATCTCCATATTTTTGCCACGGCCCCTGCCTGCCTTCACCCTGTGCTTGCCATTTTGCCTCCCTCCCACGCCACTCCGCACTGACCATGCCGCACAACACACTCCCTTACCCTTGCCCCATGATCCACCAGTTCGAATCCTTGCCTGCACAGTGCTGGCTGCTAGGCAAAGCGGCTCCCAATCCCTCCGTACATGCAGGGGCGGGGAACAGAGAGGGCACGGCCTCATAGGGCGCAGATCAGCAGAGGGTATGGGCCAGCAGGGGAGGCACATATAGAAAAAGACGTGGTTTGGGAGAGGTGGGATGGAAGGCGTGGACAGCAAGCGGCAGGCACAAGGCAGCACGTGCACCTTCCGGGCACACCTGCGCGCGGATGAGAAGGGAAGGATTTGAGGTGGTAAGGTGGGCAGGCGGTAAGGTCGGCAGGCGGTAAGGTGTGCGAGGGTGAAGGAATAAGAACAGAGGGTGGGGAGACACATGGAAAAGGGACAAGGAAACGGGTAACACGGAGACCGAGAAGGGGATGGGGGGAAGCAGGGAAGGGGATGGGGGGAAGCAGGGAAGGGGATGGGGGGAAGCAGGGAAGGGGATGGGGGGAAGCAGGGAAGGGGATGGGGGGAAGCAGGGAAGGGGATGGGGGGAAGCAGGGAAGGGGATGGGGGGAAGCAGGGAAGTGGATGGGGGGAAGCAGGGAAGGGGATGGGGGGAAGCAGGGAAGGGGATGGGGGGAAGCAGGGAAGGGGATGGGGAGAAGCAGGGCAGGGGGCGGGGAGAAGCAGGGAATGGGATGAGGGGAAGCAGAGCAGAGGGTGGGGGGGAGCAGGGAAGGGGATGGGGGGGAGCAGGGCAGAGGGTGGGGGGAAGCAGGGAACGGGATGGGGGGAGCAGGGCAGAGGGTGGGGGGAAGCAGGGAAGGGGATGGGGGGGAGCAGGGCAGAGGGTGGAAGGAATCAGGGCAAAGGGGGAAGCATGGCTGGTGGGAGAACGGGTGGTTGGGAAAAACAAAGACAGGGGGCAACAATTTGGGGGAAGTGAGGGCGATGAGGGGAAGCGCGTGGGGGAAAAGAACATCTGCATACCCTTCTGTCCTATCCCCTCTGTGTCTCTCATTCAGTCCCTTCCCTCAGGAGGAAGAAGGGTGGAAGAAAGGGTGAGAGAGAGGTTCGAAGAAAGAGAGATAGAGAGAGGGAGAGGGAGGGAGGGAGAGATGGAAGGGAGGAAGAGGAGAAGAGCGTATGACAAGCGGAATAGAATGTGGGGAGGAAGGCGGGTGGTATGTGGGGGATATGGAGGTGGGTATGTGGGGAGGCGAGGGCGACGGGCAGAAGCGAGGGCGTTATGGCGACGAGAGAAACGAAGACGTTGAGGAGGAGAGCGAGAGATGAGAAGAAGCGTGGGTGACAGGGAAGCAAGGGCGACAACGGGAAGCGCGGGTGACGGGAGAGCAAGGGCGACAACGGGAAGCACGGGTGACGGGGAAGCAAGAGCGACGACGGGAAGCGCAGGTGACAAGCAGATGCGAGGGCGGCGAGGGTCGGTGAGGGAGATGAGGGAAATTGCGGGCGACGAGGAAAGGGGTATGACGTGGGAAAGAGCGGCCGACGAGGGGGAACATATGAGACTAACGGCAGCGCGCGTCTGGCGAACCTGTACGGCATTCGCGTGAGCGACCCGTGCCTAAAACGGTACGATTGGGACGCGAGGCTGAACCGCAGCAAGTGTGAAAAGAGCATCTTGTGCGACGCGAGCTTGAAAGCAAGGCGCGAGTAACGCGACGATTGTTCACTAACGTTAGTGCTGCGGGTGAACGGGTTGTAACACGAGACCGGCGACGTGAGGGGGAAATCGGAGCGTGCACTGACTAAGATGGTTGAGGTGGATACCTATTTTTTTTTCCGCACAAAAAAAAAGCCCTAACAACGACTCGCTTTTGCCAACTAGCGCTAGTTTTTGCCTTGGAGCCTCCTAGTCTATGAGTACGACTTGGTAAGCAAGTTATGTGAGTGATGAACAGTGCATATGGTTGGCGATCATCGCGTCAGTTCTGTTTTTGGGCACTTGGGTTCTGTTGTCGCAGGACGATTGCCTGGGGTTGCGAGAGTTTCTTCAAAACAAGTAGGGTAACCCTGTTTTTTTGCGATTTCAAGTTCAAGAATCTTGAACTTGAAAATTACCATGCTGTACCCGGGCTTTAATCCGAGTGCTAGGCTACTCTCCCAAAAAGCCAGGGTTAGTGGAGTTCCGCCGCAGAGCTAAGTTTGCCTGTGAAGGAACCTTCTTGAATGGCAACTTCGAGTCGAACTCCGAGTAGGGTGTTGGGGCGATCGTTTGCCCATTCTGACTCACACGGAGTAAGCCACGTCGGACTGAGTAAACTTCCGTCACACGTGCAAAGCGGGACTTAGGGAACTGCCTAGAAGCTCACTAACCCCGCTTAAGGGTGCTACCGATCAGGCACATGCGACCACGTACTGTATATCGGCCGTAGTTCCGCGCCAAAATTTTTGACACGCTGGCCAAATCACGGTGCTGCTTCGCACTGATAAGATTCGCCACATCACCAAATTGGAGACACCTCGACCCTCCATGCACATCCGCTGTACACACCAACCTAACCAGAACAGACCAACCGATTGAATGCTACCCGGTATGAATGGTTTAGCTCTATATATGGATGCATTCCAGCAGAGCGCATTTCTTGGAGTTGCAGACTACATAAAGAATATATCCCAACTGAATGTACATGTTCTGGATGTAACAAGGCTAAGTGAACAAAACCCATCATCTCATGCATCCATCCAGGGAAGGAAGTGTGAGTCACCAAGTTTCAACATGTGAAACCAAAAACCTGCCTTCAGTTTAGTCCTCTATGACCTTCAATTGCAGTATCGATACTGCAATGCCCATGCAAGGGTCGTTACTGGAACCTCAAAAGGATTTCAGGACTTTTTACCTTGAAATCACAGGCCCTAGTCCAGGGTAACAGTGGCTCGTGTGCTACGTATAAGCAACACCTGTGGGCGGGTGCAGCAGCACCCAGAAGGCAGCATCGGCAAATAAGGAATGCAGCACGTGCGGTGGGCGTGTGGCATGTGTGGCATTTGTGGCATTTGTGGCGTGTGTGTGGGTGGCAGTGTGGCGCGTGTGCAGTCCAGTCAAGGCAGCGCTGCTGTTCCAATGCAGGATCAACCTGGCAGCACCATGTGCCGCCTCTGCTGTGGGCAGCCATGCCATCACGACCCTACAGGCTGCTCCACGCCTCTCACAACTCCCTCCATCGCACCTCCTGTCCTCACCTCCCCTCCCTCTACTGCTTCCCTCGCTTCCCCCGCTCCCCCGCTGCCAGCAACCACGGGCCTGCCGCCTCTCCTCGACCGCTGGCGCTTCAACCCCCATAGCTCGCCCGCTGATCCCCCCTTCCTGCCATCCGCACGCTCCTCATCGCCCTCCAACCCCGCTTCTGCTTCCTCCTCCATCTCGCGCCCTCTCTTCTCTGCACCTCTCTTGACCGCTTTCAACTCCAGGCCAGCACCACCACCCAAGTCACCACTCACAACTGTTCCCCCACCCTTGTCACCGCTCCCCAGCATTCCACCTCCCAAGTCACCACTCCCAACCGTTCCACCACTGCTGCCAGCAGCAGCAACAGCAGGGGGGGCAAGAGCGGAGCACCCTCTGCTTGGGTCGTCAGAGGCGTCCTGGCAAGGCGCACCGGCAGCAGCAGAAGCAGCAGCCGAGGCAGCAGCTGCAGCGGGCACAGAAATGCCTTCCAGTGCGCCTGCCTGCCCCACCACAGCAGCACCAGCAACGTCCTTCTCCAGACGTGTCCTCTCCCTCCGCTTGCCCCTCTCCTCACCACGCCGCTGCTCACCCCCTCTCTCCTCTGTACCCTCCTCGCCCGCCAGCACCGCAGCGGGCGAGGCACACGAGGAGAGCGGGGCGTCAAGCAGCGGGTGCGGGGAGAAGGTGGTGCTGCCCACGGGGCTGGCGCCCATGCCGGGGCTATAGGGTAGGTACGGGCTCGTGAACCGCGGGCTTGCGTTAAGGTACGGGCTGGCGAGCAGGTGAGGGCTGGCAGTGACGTATGTGGTGCAGTGCAGGTGGGGGCTGGCAGCGAGGTGTGGCAGGGGTGTGGCGGCGGAGGCAGGGCTGCTGGTGGCCAGACACGCGCTGCCTGCCTGCCCCGCCCTGCTCGCCCCTCCCCCTCCCTCCTGCTCCCCTCCATGTTCCCCTCCCCTCCCCCTGCCGCCCTGCTGCCAGCCTTCCATGCCAGACTCCTTGCCACCACCGCTGCCAGAAGCACCACTGCCATCCTGTGACGCACTCCTCTCTGTTCCACCCCCTCCTGCCGCGTGCCCCTCCAGGTTTGGCCCATCCACCTCTATGTCCTCGCCCCCTCCCTGGCCCCCACTCTCCTCCTCACTCTCCTCCTCTCGAAACAGGCTTGAGAAGCTGTCACTCTCACTCTCACTCGCACTCTCCTCGTCCCCCTCACTCCCACCACCTCCCACACTTCTCCCCCCGTGCCCATGCATCCCCTCACTGCTCCCACCAGACCACAGCCCGTCCGTCTCCTGCTTACCACCGCTGCCCTTCGCCCCACCCACTGCACCCACCGCCCCCACCTGCCCCTCGCGGCATCGAGACAGTGCCGACCCGCCCCCTCCCCTGCCACCGCCTCGTTTCCTATCACTGGTCCGTGCCTCACTCCGCCTTGTACCATCCTCCCTTGCACCCTCCTTCACCTGCTTCTGCATCTGCTCTTCATTCTCTTGCGCCCTCCCTCCCTCCCTCTCTCTGCCATCCGCACCACTTACCCTCGCTGCACCCTCCTCCTTGCCCTCCGTCCTCACCGCCCTCCTCCCGCCTCCCCCCTTCATGCCACCGCGCTTGCCCCCATGCCTCCATCGCCCCCGCCTGTCGCGCTGCTGCTGCATGCTCCTCTGCTTCTCCCCCTGCTGCGCTGCCCTATCTCGCTCGCCTGCATTCCCATTCGCCGCCCCTCTCTTTCTTCCTCTGCCCTTCCCTCCCCCTCTTCCCACCACCCCTCCCCTCCTCCAATCTCCATCCAACGCCCCTTTCCCTTTTACACCCTTCTCCTCCGCCCCATATCCCTCCTCTGCCCCCTCCTCTCCCCCCACTCTGCTCTTTCCCCTTTCTCCCCGCTCTCCCTCTTCTCCCCCTTCACCAGCTGCTCCTTCCCTCCGCTGTCTCTTAATGTCGATCCCTTGTTGCTCCTCCCTCTCCCGCTTCCCCCTGTGCGCCACAGCCTTTGCACCCACTCCCCTTCCCGCCTCCTCCTCCTCACCATCTGCTCCAGCCCTCTCTCCCTCGGCCCGTGCACGCTGTCTCTCCTTCGCCCTCCACTCACCACTGCTGCCAACCCCAGCCCCATTCTCACCACCACCGCCAACACCACCACCACCACCACCACCAGCACCAGCAGCACCCGCACCTACCTCAAATTCCTCCTCCTTCAGGCCTGCTTGGTCCTTGTGCCCCTCCACCTTCCCTGCCGTACCACCGGCCTTGTCACTTCCAGCCTCTGCCGCCCCACTGCCCGCCCCCCCCCCAACCTCCGCAGTCTCCACACTGCCGCCTGCCCGCCTGCCTGGTGGCATGGCCTTGCGGGATGCGCTGGGGGGGGCACTGGGGCGGGGGGTGCGCGGAGTGGGGGGGATCAGTGGGGGGGGAAGGGCAGGGAGGGCAGGGAGGGCGAGGGGTGGGAAGGAGAGGAGGCGGCGGGGCACGGTGCGCTGAGTGCGCTCCTTCTTGGGCGAGGGGAAGGGCGGTTGGGCGAGGGCGTGCAGGGGCAGGGGGGCAGGTGGCAGTCGCACAGTGCTGGTGGTGGCAGCATTGGGGAGAATTCTCACTGCACATGCCGGCTTCTCTTCTCCATCCCCCACCCACTCTTCCTCCTCGTCCTCCGGCTTCGCACCCTTCACTCCACCGTCACCATTGCCTTCACCACTACCACCACCTCCACCACAATCGCCAGTAACCAGCCCCACCATATCAACCGCTTTGTTCACCTCTCCATCGCTTTGCACCTGCGGCCCCCTGCCTGTCCCATCCGCACCCCTGGCCACGTGAATCGAGGGAACAGCCTCTCCCGCTGGCAGCACACATGGAGTGCTCACCTGTCCACTCCGTTTCCCCACCGCCTCACCCACACTCGCCGCACCCCCCTCGCTGCCCTCCCTCCCACTCTTTCTCCCGTCACCAACCTCCTCCTCGTCCTCACCTGCGTCGTCCCCACCCGCCAGCTGCGAGTGGTGGTGAGCACCCAGGTCCCAGCTGCCACTCGCGCCCTCACTTCTCCCACCCAAGCTCTCACTCTCGCTGTCGTCGCTGCTGCTGCTGTCCGTCTCGCGGCCCATCCCTGCCTCCCCATCCCCATCTGCACTGCCGCTACCACTGCCAGCGCCAGCACCGCTGCTGCAGGCACGGGTGCAGGAGAGCGGCAGGGGGGTGCCGGTGTGGGAGCAGCGCCACTGCCGCATGAGTCCTGCCAGCTGCCCGCCGCCCTCCTGCTGCACGCACCACTGCCACCCACCGCGCTCAGCGCTGTCATCCCCCTTGCCGCCCTCATGGCCCCCCTGTCCCTCTTGCCCCCCCTGCTCCCCTCGCTGTTCCTGTTGCGGGGAGGCCGAGAGGTTGAGGGCGGGTGCAGCAGGCGGCAGGGTGCCCCCCTGTGCGTGAGCAAGAGGCTGCCATGTGTGTGAGGCGGGCAGCAGCGAGGCCGGGATGTCACAGCGCACGCTCACAGCACAGCCCGCCCCCGTGCAGGCGACACCAGCATTGCAGGCCAGGGGGAGAGCGGGGCTGGCGAGGCGGGCAGGGGGTAGAAACCAGGCTGTGCGGTGGTGGGCAGGGAGAGGTGCACACGGCACGTCAGCCCAGTGCAGTGGGAGAGTGCGGGCACTGGGGAGAGTTCCCGTGTCAGTCCGTGCGACTGTAACGGTGCTACAGTCTGCGGGAGTCACTGTGTCAGTTCCTGTGGCTGTATCTGTGTCAGTCCCTGTGTGTGTCTCATTGGGTGCAGCAGTGGGGCACGAGAGCACGGGCAGCAGCCCCACAGCCACGCGCGGCACCACCACTCTCTCCAGTGCCGCCAACAGCCCCACCGACAAACCCACCCTGCCTGCTGCTGCTGCCGCCGCTGCTGAAGCTGCCGCTACACCGGCAGGTCCCACCCCTCTGCTGCCACTTGTCATGGCGCCATTGCCCTGTGCGGGTGGAACAGCAGCAGGAAGGGGGGCGTCCAGCTTGCGGCGCTTGACGGCAGGCAGCAGGGCGTGCGGGGGAATGACCACCCCCCACTCGTTGATCACCACCTTCACCCGCGCCTTTGCCTTCCCTGCCCCTCCCTCCCTCTCCTCCCCCCCCAGCCCTACCCCTCGCCCCCTCTCCTCACTGCCGCCCGCTCCCATGCTTGCTGGCGGCAACACAGCAGCCACACCCACAACCCCTGGCCCTGCTGCCACAGCACCAGCAGCAGCTGAAACAGCACAGTCAGCGGCAGTGGCAGCGAGCTGCTGACCACTGCTCAAGGCAGGTCTGCTCACACCCAGGGTCCCCCAGGTCGCTGCTCCTGTGCCATGGGCGGTGGGCGGCGCAGAGGGGGCAGCAGGGGGGGGCAGTGGGAGAAGGGGGTGGAGCAGGGAGGGGGGTGTGCCAGCAGGAGGGGCACCCAGCAAGGAGGGCGAGATGGATGGGGACGGCAACAGCCCCCCTGGCGTTGTCAGCAGCCCTGCCCCTCCCTTCCCAGGCGAACCCCCCAGCTGCTGTTGTTGCTGGCGTGGGCTCTCAGAGCGGGGGTGGGAGGAGGTGGGCGTGTGCTGCGCCTCATCTGCACGGGTGGGCTCGCGGGGAGAGGGCGCGCGTGCATGGGGAGGCTGCAGCGGGCGGGGGCGCGCGGGGTGCAGGAGCAGGCGGCGCTGAATCACCCAGGAGGCGGGCTGCATGGCGTCTGTAGGCAGCTCGCCCCGCTGGTAGAAGTGCTCCTCCTGGTGGGGCGCACATGGGGGCGGGTAGAGAAGCCCGGAGAGAGGGGGGGGGAGGAGGGTTGGTTGTAAGCCGAATCGAAGGGGAGGGATGGAGAGAGAGAGAGAGGGCACACGATACTCTTGTGCACAACGGGGGCCATGGGATGAGAGGAGGTGCGTGTGCCATGCAGCAGGTGCGGACACGGTGAGCATGGGAGGAGAGGTGGCGCGCTGACCTGAGCGGGGGAGAGGTGGTGGCGGAAGCAGCGGGCGGAGGGCAGGGGGCAGCGCCCTGCCACGTGGTCCAAACACAGGGATGTCGCCCTGTCCCGCGTGCGCCTGGTGGGGGGGTGGAGGAGGGAGGACGGGGGGTGGAAGTGCGGAATGGGAAGAGGTGACGTGGAGCGAGAGGAGGGTGTGCAGGCAGCAAGGAGGGCGTGCAGGCAGCAAGGAGGGCGTGCAGGCAGCAAGGAGGGCGTGCAGGCAGCAAGGAGGGCGTGCAGGCAGCAAGGAGGGCGTGCAGGCAGCAAGGAGGGCGTGCAGGCAGCAAGAAGGGCGTGCAGGCAGCAAGGAGGGCGTGCAGGCAGCAAGGAAGGCGTGCAGGCAGCAAGGAGGGCGTGCAGGCAGCAAGGAGGGCGTGCAGGCAGCAAGGAAGGCGTGCAGGCAGAAAGGAGGGCGTGCAGGCAGCAAGGAGGGCGTGCAGGCAGCAAGGAGGGCGTGCAGGCAGCAAGGAGGGCGTGCAGGCAGCAAGGAGGGCGTGCAGGCAGCAAGGAGGGCGTGCAGGCAGCAAGGAGGGCGTTCAGGCTATGGGGTGGCACCGCTTGGGGTGGTGGCGGGAGCAGGAGGCGGGGTTCTTGCAGGCGCCGTATCTCAGCGCGTCCACACACAGCCGCAGCCTCCTCGCCCTTGCCTCCCCCTCCCCTGCGCCCCTTCCGGCATTAACAGGGGCAGCAGCAGTGGAGGGCGAGAGTGGGTCACAGACGGAGTGAGGTGATGCAGCAGGCGAGGGCGTGGGTCTGCCTTGCTGGTGGCGGGGCGAGCTCAGGGGGCGAGGGAGAGCGCGCGAGTGGGAGTGGGAGTGAGAGAGGGTGCGGGGGTGCTGCTGGGGCTCCTGCACACTGTGACCACCGCTGCCAGCACCCTCGTTGCTGCCCTTCTCCCTCTCCTTCTCCTTCTCTTCTCTTTCCCGGTACTTCTCCTTCCCCCTCTCCCGCTCCCTCTCCTTCTCCCTCTCCCATTCCCTCTTCTCCCGCTCCCTCGCCTTCTCCCTCTCCCTCTCCCTCTCCCATTCCCTCTCCTTCTCCCTCCCCCTTTCCCTCTCCCTCCCCCTTCCTGTCTCCCTCTCCTCCCTTTCCCTCTCCTTCTCCCTCTCCCTCTCATTCTCCCTCTCCCTTTCCTTCTCATTCTCCCTCTCCCTTTCCTTCCCCTTCTCCCCCTCCCTCTCCCTCTCTCTCTCCCGCTCCCCCTCCCTTTCCCGCTCCCTCTCCTTCTCCCTCTCCTTCTCCATTTCCCTCTCCTTTTCCCTCTCCCCCTCCTCCCCCTCTCTCACCCCCCCTTTCTCGTTGTCCCTCCCCTCCCTGCCCCTCACCCCACACCGTTCCATCACGGCGCCCCTGTCCCCTCGCGCCCCATCTGTTGCTTCCTGACTAGCCCCCAAGCCGTTGCCACCATCGACACCCCTCCCCGGCGCCTCATCTCGCTCCTCTACAGACAACACGCGCTCGCCCTCCCTCGCACTCCCATGCTCACGCCCGCTACCCTGTCTGCTCACCTCTGCTCTCTCTGGCCCCTGCCCCCTCCCCTCCGCTGAAGCTGCTTCTGTGTGCTCGTGCCTGCCCTTGAGCCTCTCATTCGACCAGCCCCTCTCCCTGGATCTGCTGCCATCCCACCGCTCACCCCTCTCGCTCTCCTTGAACTCATGTCTTCTCCTCGCGTCCTTCTCCCTCTCCTCATCCCTGTCCCTCCCCCTCGTCTCCCTCTCTGCCTTCCTCTCCCGCATTCTGTCGTCACCCCGCTCCTTGCCTCCATCCCTATCTCTGTTCCTTCCCCTCTCGCCTCTCTCTGCCTTTTCGTCCCCCTCCCACGTCCCTCTGTGTCTCTCTTGAGGCTTCAAGCCAGCGGAGCTCCCATTCCACACGTCCCTCCGCCTCTCCACCATGCCCTGCTTCTCGTTTCTTTCCTCATAACCCCCCCCACCACTGCTGCCCCTCCCCCTCCCACCCTGCCTCTCACTGCCCCAACCCTGGTGCCTCTCCCCTCTTCGCCTCTCCCCATCCCTCTCGTGCACCGGTGCTCTCTTGTTGTCCCTCTCCCTCTCATATTCCCTTGAATTCTCTCTCCCCCTCACGCTCTTTCTTTCTCGATCCTTCTCTTGTTCGCTCTCGCCCTCTCTTCCCTTCTCTGTCCTCTTTTCCCTATCCCTCCCCAACTCACACATACGCTCCCTTTCTTTCTCCTCCGCCTCTATCTCCCTCTCCTCCCGCTTATCCTTATGCCTCCGTTCCCACTGCATTTTTCTGGCTGCTTCCTGACCTTTCCCCTCCTTCCCCTCCTCCTCCTCCTCCTCCACCACCACATTGTTGGAACCTGTATTTCTTGCCCCTGCATCTGCTGTGTGCGTCGTGTAACCAACTCTCACACATGCTTTCTCATTGTCGCCTTCAACTTCACCTCCTCTCGCCCTCGCCTCCTCGGCTACCCGCTCCTGTCCCTCAGAGTGACTGCCTTCCTTCCCTCGTCCCCATCCTCCACCTTTACCGCTTGTCTCCCTCTCCCTCTCCTCCCTTTTCCATCTCCCCTTCCTCTCCCTTTCCCGTTGCCACCGCCCCTCCCTGTGTGCCCACTCACCATCCCTATCCCGCTCTCCTCCCGTCCCTCTCTCCCTTTCTTGCCTTACTCTCACCACACATCCCTCACCGCCCCTGCTCCATTCCTCTTTCCGCTGCTGCCTGCCCTCGTCCCCCCTCGCCTTCTGCTCCTTGTCCTCCTCTCCGCCCCTTCCCCCCGTCGTCCCGCCACTGCCGCTCGCCCGAAGCCCTTGCGTGGGCGGTTCCTCTCGGCCTCGCGCGGTTACTTCCCCAGCCCCACTCATCACTCGGCTCGCCCTGCTGCCTTCCTCCTCACCGCTCCCACTCACTCGCTGCTCCCTCCACTCCAGCTTCCCACTGCCCCCCTCCTTGCTCTCCCCATCAGCCCCCTGATCGTCTGCCCGCCCACCCTCCTTCCCTCGCCCGCCCCCCGCCTCACGCTCTGCCTGTGCCTGCCCCATGCTGCGCCTCCCCTCCTCTGCTTCCCACGCTGCGCCATGCGCGTCCCTGTCCCTGCGCTGTGCGCCTCTTCTCCTCTCGCCTGGCCCCCACAGGTGTGTGTCGCGCATGGGCACGGCCTCTAGCGCCAGAACCACCGGCATCGTCCCCTGCGCCATCACACCGCCCCCCTCACGCCCTACCGCCCTGCCACCCGCCTCCTTCCCTCCTTCTCGTCTCCTCATGCCTCTGCTCCTCCGCCCCCCGCCCCCACCCTTAGAATTCTGCCCTCGAGCTACACTACACCGCACTGCACCACCCGTTTTTCCTTTCCTCCGCCTGTGCCTGCCTGGGCTGCCCCAGGAGGGGTCGTCCTCGCCGCTGCTAGCGCCACTGGCATCGCTCCTCACCTCCCCACTCGCCTCACCATCGCTCCCATCGCTCCCACTGCTGCTGCTGCACGTGCTGCTGCTGTCACTGCTCTGGCTGTCACTGCTGCTGCTACTGCTGCTGCTGCTACTGCAAGGTGCCCGGCGAGTTAGAGACGCATAACCATTTCCCTGTGCACCCCTGCGCCCCCCTGCCACACGCCTGCCACATGAACCCTCACGAGCCACAGCAGCAGTGCCTCTTTCACTAACGCGCTCGCTGTCCTGCCCACCGCCAGCCAACAACTGCTGCCCTGCCTTGCCACCTCCCTCATCTCCCTGCCGCCTCTCTGCACCTCCACCGCCCTCTCTCATTCGTCCCCTCTGCGGAGCATCACAGCTATCATTCCCCCTGCTGCCCCGCTCCTGTGATGTATGCTGTGTGCCCATGCTCTTCCCACGCCCTCTCCCCCCTCCTGCCACATGCCCATGCCCATCTCGCCTCCTCACTGGCCCCATCCGCCCACCTGCCCTCGCCCCTCGCTGCTCCCTCCTGCCCTCACCGTCGCTGCTACTGCTGCCACCGCTACTGCTGATGGAGCTGCTGCCGCTGCTGTCGCTGTGGCTCACGCTTGATGTTGTGCTGCCCCCACTGCCCCCCTCACTACCCCCGTCACAAGCGCCCTGCCCCCTGGTTGCACGCACCCCTTCACCCATCCTTTTCCCTGCTCTGCCCTGCCTGCCCGCCTCTGTGCCCTGCATTTCGCGCTCGCCCAGATCGCCCTCCCACTCCTTCCCTGCTGGCCGCACACAGGGGCTTGCCGCGCCACCCCCACCTGCGCTGCTGCCCACAGGGGCGGCGCCTGGGTCTGGCAGCAGCGGAGGGGCAGCAGACAGCGACGCAGCACGCACCACGTCAGGAGCATGAGACGCAGCGGCGGCGGGAGGGGAATCAGCGGCAGGAGAAGCAGGGTGGGCGGTATTGCTGTCCTCCCGTGGGACGCCATTGCTGTGCGCGGTGGGGCTTGAAGTGGTGGGGGTGCGAGGGGTAGGGCTGGATGGGGTAGCGCTGGGAGCAGTAGAGGTGGGAGGCGTTGGTGCAGCGAGGGCAGAGGCAGGGGGAGGAGGGGCGGAGCGCGGTGTAGGTGTGGATGGGCTGCCACCAGCGGGTGCAGCAGCAACTGCTCCTGCGCCTGCCGCTGCCGCCTCTGCTGCTGCCGCCCGTGCCACTGAGGGTGAGGGTGCAGGCAGCACGGGAGTCCCACTGACCGCAGCGATGGCAGGTGGTGGTGCACAGTGCAGTACAGATGGCAGGGCAGGCGAGGCGACGGGTGAGGTGACGGGCGTGCCATGCACCCCGTTGCCAAGGGCAGCAGCAGCGGGTGTGGTTGCGGCAGGGTGCAGCATGGGGGGCGAGTCGTGAGAGGCATGGCGCGCTGGGGCAGAGTGAGAGTGGCCGTTGGCCGTGGCAGGGGGTGGGGGAGGCGGTGGCAGCGCAGCGTGTGCGGCATCGGCAGCACCTTGGGCATCCTGCCACACCACACAAACCACACGGTGTGAGCGTGGACACAACTCTAAGCATCAACAAGGAAACAAAGACAGCTGTGATCAGATAATGAAGTGGAAGCATGTGGGTGCTGACCTGGGGGGGGGAGGCGCCGCCACAGCGGGCGTTCCAGGCAGTGAGGAGGTTGAGCAGGTAGGCGTAGTCGGGCTTGTCGGCGTACTGCAGCACCTGCAGGTGATCCGCGAACGCCTGAGGGGCCAAGGGGGGGTGGGGCAGAGCGGCATAAGACAGCAGTTGGCGGAAGGGCTTGGATGAGGAGATGCAAGGAGCGCGATAGGTGGAAGTGTAGGTAGGAAAGGTGAGAGCAGTGCAGAAGAGTGGGGTGGTGTGGCAAGGGTGGCAATGGATGCAGCGCGAGGGACTCACAGAGAGCTCCTCTGGGAAGGCAACGGACTTGGTCATCTGCTCCGGGTGGTCAAAGAAATACAGCTTCATCTCCTTCACCCTCTCCTGTTGCCGTTAACACACACACACACATGCATGCACACGCGCGCACGCACACATGCACACATGCACGCACACACACACCCTCCCTCCCACCACGTGTACGCACATCATTGCACACACAGCAGGGCGAGGGAACACAGTGGGTGGGGAGAACACATTAGTGAGAGGTCCAGGCATGGCAGCGACGTGCATGCAGTGATGAGCCGAATGCAGCAGTGCAAAACATGCACTCTCTTGCTACGAGCACACTGCTCACCTTCTCCTGCACGTGGCGCCAAGGGAGCTCCCCGTCAAGAAACTCCACGAGCACATAGAAGAGCGACCACAGGTCGTCCCTCCGCCCCAGGTCCTGCCACCCACCACACACGGCAGGTGCGAGTGCACGGAGGCATACCATGAGCAGGTGCGAGTGCACGGAGGCATACCATGAGCAGGTGCGGGTGCACGGAGGCATACCATGAGCAGGTGCGAGTGCACGGAGGCATACCATGAGCAGGTGCGAGTGCACGGAGGCATACCATGAGCAGGTGCGAGTGCACGGAGGCATACCATGAGCAGGTGCGAGTGCACGGAGGCATACCATGAGCAGGTGCGAGTGCACGGAGGCATACCATGAGCAGGTGCGAGTGCACGGAGGCATACCATGAGCAGGTGCGAGTGCACGGAGGCATACCATGAGCAGGTGCGAGTGCACGGAGCCATACCATGAGCAGGTGCGAGTGCACAGAGGCGTAGGCAGTGGAGCCGCGGAACTCGGCCACCTGGCGAGCGGGGTGCACGCCGTGGGAGGAGCGGAATCGCTTGCTTATGCCAAAGTCAATCACGAAACACTGCTGCTGCCGTGAGCCCACGCCCATCGCGAAGTTGGACTGCTCACACGCGCCATGAGGGGGTTGGTAGGGGGTAGGTGAGCGGGTGTGCATGGAGGGGCGCGCTGAGGACGATGATTGGCGCATGGGGGAGGCTTGGGTGCCGGAATGGTGCAAGGAGCGGGTGATGCAGATGGCGAGGGACGTTGGTGATACAGGTAGACATGGCAAGGCAAGGCGATGCAGAGAGGAGGGGGTGGGGAGGGCACTGACGGGTTTGACGTCGCGGTGCAGGAAGCCGTGGTCGTGCATGGTCCTCAGCGCCCTCAGCATCTGCTCGCAGGGGGCGGGTGGGGGAGGGGGGAGGGGGGAGGGGGGAGAGGGGAGGGGGTGGGGTGCGGTGATGGGCAGGGGTGGGGCAGGAGCGGCAGTGGGATGGACATGCAACCTGAGGCCATCAGCAGCTGAATGCACCATGTCATGCAACACCCATTCGGCCCTCAACCCCCCTTGCCACCAGTCCCACGCAAGCCACCCTGCTGCTGCCAAGCAAGCACCCACACGCCCCCGTAGCCCCCCAGCACACTGACCTGCAGGGCGAGGGGTACGAGGGTGGCGACGGGGAAGCGCGCGTGGGGGTGCGTGCGGCGCAGGTCGGAGAGGCTGGGCCCCAGCAGCTCCATCGCCACGTACGCGCGCCCCCCCGCCTGCCCCGCGTGCACATACTCGCACACCGCCCCGCACCCTGGGGGGGACACGCGGGGTGGGGAGGGGGGAGGTCGTATAGTGAGGGGGAGGGACGAGTGCTGGTCATGCGCCAGAAGGTTGACGAGAGGGGGGAGCGATACAAGAAGGGGTGGAGGAGAGAGGTGGGAAGGGGAGTGGGGTTGGGGGATTTGATTGGGAAACAGATGCGAGGAAGGTGTACAGGCGCAGGTGTATACGGGGGAGGCGGTAGGTACCTTGCAGGCGCTTGAGCACCCAGACCTCCCACTTGAGCACCGACTCCTCCTTCTCCACCTTCAGTGCCACCTGCCGCCCCGTCACCGTGTCGCGCGCCCGGTAGATCTCGCCTGCACACAACCGATTGCGCACAGATGGTTGAGGAAGGTTCAGGGCCGGGGAGCAGCAAGCGAGAAGGAGAGGCTTGGCGGCGAAGGTAGTGGAGGGGGGAGGAAGGGAGCGGCGTGGACGGGTTGATGAATGACGAGGGGTGTTCGGGTAGCGCGGGACACATGATGAGTGGCGAAACAGTGAAGGTCCTTAAGTTAGAGGACGCACAAAAGAAGCGATTTGCGAAACCATTCAACGACCAGCTTAGAGGGTGAGGGGAAGAAAAGGGGGTAAGAGTGGAAGATTGGGAAGAGAGAAGCGGAAAGGGAGAGAAAGGGGTTCCAGGGAGTGCGGGAAGTACTGAAGGTGCCTTCGCCGATCTTCTTCTCCACTTCGAACCGCGACTCCAGCACCGCGCCTCGCGACAACAACGGCGCGTGCGGAGGCAGCCGCGACGACGCCATGATGGCAGTGCAGGCAGCACCGTCACGGGCTGACGGCGGAAACCCCGGACCGTCACGCGTCGATCCTGCTCATCTGGAAGTAGCAGCACCACCCATTGCTGTCCATTAACGTCCTTCTTAACGTCCACCACGAAGCTCCGGTCCAGCCAGGCCACGAACGCAACGGCGGAAATTCGATTACTAACGCCTCACCTCAAGAGTTCCGTGTACAAGTACGGAGAGGACGGAAAGGGCCTGGGAACCAATGTACAGGAGGGCTAGATTCGAAGGACCTAGCCAGTGAATTTAACAATATAGTCGACATAAGAAGGGTTTCACGAGCTGCACACGTGACCTGAAGTGAGCTAGATTCAGAATCTTGGGCGCAAAAGGCTGAGAGACTGGGCCTACTAAAGCATCTAAGATGCAATGGACGGCTTCACTGCTGAAGGGTGGAAGGGATGAGCCTTGGAGTTGTCATGGCAGTCACATGGCTGTCCGTCGCCAGTCTCGGTGATATCATGCCCGCCGTCCAATCACTGACAGCGCACAGGCTCGCACCAAACCCTGCGACTGTTCCCAAATGAACACTGCAGCAGCCCCAACACGCCTTCCCCCTCAAAGGGTCGTTTCAGCTTTGTATTGAAAAACGATGCAATCCAAAGTCAACCACAGTTCTACCTTATCTTAGCCAAGCAGCAGAAGTGTCAATTATTAGCTATAACTTACCCATTGACAGCAGACATTCGCCATACAATGAACGTGAATAATGAGCGTGCATAATCATCATTGATTCCCCAATTCATTATTTGAATGTTCACAAATATTTTGAATTTGTTTAGTATTTCTTATTGGCGTAATTGATACCCGCAATTACAATGAAAACCACTAATCAGCACCTTAAGATCAATGCTTACAGTAAAGTGTTTTTCATAACGAACATCACCAAATTTGGGTGTCATATTATATAATGTTCCGAATGCAACAAGAGGATGTCGCATGCTAGTGCGTTTCACTTTTGTGATCTAATTGTCTAGGGTTAAAATACAATTTCAAATATTGTAGCATGTCTATAAGCTTTCAGGTGATTCAGAATATTTCTACTAATCTACTAAGAAAATTCACCTGACATGTACCTTATATTAAAGAGTCCTGTTCTGTACTACTGGATGAATTATGGTTGAGTGAAAAAACTATTTCCACATAATGGGCTGGACTGCTGCTGACCTTGAGAGCTGCTTGAGTGTGTGATTGGAGCAGCACCGCCCCACTCCAGCATTCGTGGCACAGCTGCCCCGTCAGCGATCGCCTCTTGACGGTCATTTGCCACAGCGTGCCACCTGCTCTACCTTCGTTCCCCCCCTCCCTGACCACCTATCGAAGTATCATTGCCCGCATCCCCTTCGCCTCCCCTCGCCGCCGTCCCTTCCAAGCAGCAATCACACCACCACACCCATGCTCCCCGCCCCGCACAACCCGCTTGTGCGCACCAGAATTGACTTGAAAGCATAAATCTTGTCCCCCGCCCATACCTAACAGACCTCGCCAACTAAGACCATTACCCCTTCCCCTCCATCCCGTTGTCCGCGTCAACTATGGCTGCCGCGGTATCTGTCCCTTCCCCCGCATTGCGCGGCACCGTAACTTCTGCGCGCCATGCCGCCTTGCCAAAAGCCAGCGGCTCCGCGTCGCCAGCGGGGCCTGCGCCACAAGTAACTCTCAGATCGTCCTTCACGCAATCGCGCGCCGCCGTCACCGGCAGAAGCCGGTCGAGTAGCTGCCGTCAAATTGCTGCTTCCAGGCGGCGATCGGCTGTCAGAGCGTCTGTGGCAGCGTCGGCGCCGAATGCGCAGGCGGCGGCGGCGGAGGCGGAGTGGGCGAAGCTGTCGAAGGTGTGCGCGGTGCTGGGCACGCAGTGGGGCGACGAGGGCAAGGGCAAGCTCGTCGACATCCTCGCGCAGCGATACGACGTCGTCGCGCGCTGCCAGGTGAGACGCCGTGAGGCGGCACGGAGAGGCGAGAGCGAGAGCGAGAGATGCGGGGAGGCGATCGCAGGGATTGGCGCAGGAGGGAGACACACTTGGGGCTAAACGGACGAGGGCCCCGCACCTTGCTGGATCGCGTTAGGCGCACAATGAGGCGGTTAGTGCGAGGCCAGCTGGCAGAGACCGAGCATGGCAATTGGACCCTCAATTTGAATCCCGTGGTTAAAAAATTGTCACTTTGACGAGCGAAATCATGATCAGCCCGTGTTCGAAGCACCTTCGTATGTCTGCACCGCCGATGCCCTCGCGAGTAATTTGGTTAATTATCAGCCCAGCCGCTGCAATAATGGCTGAACAAACAAGGAATTCACGTCGCTCTCATTCTCGCGGAAATAAGACGAAATTGTCGACGTCAAGGCACCATTCCGCTCCCCACCCCCCGCGCGCCGTGGTGCAGGGCGGCGCGAACGCGGGGCACACGATATACGACAGCACGGGGCGGCGGTTCGCGCTGCACCTGGTGCCGTCGGGCATCCTGCACCCGAACGCGACGTGCGTGGTGGGCAACGGGCCCGTGATCCACCTGCCGGGCTTCTTCAAAGAGCTCGACGGACTCGAGGCGAGCGGCGTGACCGTGGACGGGCGCATCCTCGTGAGCGACCGCGCGCACCTGCTCTTCGACCTCCACCAGACCGTCGACGCGCTCCGCGAGGCGGAGCTGGCGGGCGACAAGATCGGCACCACGAAGCGCGGCATCGGGCCGTGCTACGCCAGTAAGGTGCGCGCACCGTGGGTGTGACGGGGACGGGAGGTGTGGGATTTTTGCCCGGGGCTTGTGGGGGAAGGATGTGTGAGAGGGGAGGGTGTGTGTGAGAGAGGAGGTGGTATGTGATGGGCAGGCGAGCGTGTCTGAGGAGGAGCGGAGTGTGTGTGAAAGGGTGTGTGAGGGAGAGGGGAGGGTGAGTGTGAGAGAATGGGGAAGCGGAGCTGAAGAGGGTGCCCGGACGAGTTAGGGCAAGGTGGGAGAGAGCACAAGGGGCTGTTGCTGCTGCTGGCCATGCTGACTGGCATGGGAGCGATTGATAGTGGGTGGGTGGTTGGGCTGGGATCCCATGTGCCATGCTGCTCTCATCTTTGGCACATCACTTCACCAACGCAACTGTTCCCCGTGCTCGCCCCCCTGCATTCCCCCTCTCCCTCCACCCTTTCCCCCCTGGTCAGGCGATCCGCAACGGGGTGAGGGTGTGCGACCTGCGCCGCATGGACACGTTCCGCGCCAAGCTGGAGACGCTGTACCGCGACGCCAGCCAGCGCTTCCCCGCCTTCCAGTACACTGAAGCCGACCTCGACGCTGAGGTGGCGCGCTACAGGGAGTTTGCCACCCGGCTGGAGCCGTTCATCACGGACACTGTTCACTTCGTGGGCGAGGCGGTGCGCGGCGGGCGGCGGGTGCTGGTGGAGGGCGGGCAGGCGACGATGCTGGACGTGGACTTCGGCACGTACCCCTTTGTCACCTCCTCCAACCCCTCTGTCGGTGGCATCTGCACCGGCCTCGGCATCCCTCCCCGGGCGCTTGGGGACATCATTGGCGTCGTGCGTCCCCCCTGCCCAAATACCCGCATGCCCACACGCCCATACCCGAACGTCCACTCCTAGCCTCTTGACATCGCTGCTGCGGCCTTGTTCCTCTTGAACCATTCGTGCGGCCCTCACCCATATCACCCCTCGCTCTCACCCTCACCCCTGAGGTCCTCCTCATCCCACCCGCACCCCCTTCGTCTCACCGCTCATCCTTCTCAACCCCTCCCAATCTCACCTCTCCTTCATTTAAACCCCCCACCATTTCATCCCCCCCGGGCTGCTCTTCTCCAGGCAAAGGCGTACACGACTCGGGTGGGCGAGGGGCCGTACCCGACGGAGCTGTTTGGGGAGCTGGGAGAGCAGCTGCGCAAGGCGGGCCACGAGTTTGGCACCACCACGGGGCGCCCACGGCGCTGTGGGTGGCTGGACATAGTGGCACTGCGGTACGCGTGCCAGGTGAACGGCTTCACCGCTCTCAACCTCACCAAGCTGGACGTGCTGTCGGGCCTGCCAGAGCTGCAGCTGGGCGTGGGCTACCGTGCCCCTGATGGCTCGCTGCTGCCTGCCTTCCCCGCTGACCTGGAGCTGCTGGGACAAGTACAGGTGCGTGCCGCCTGCCCTGCGCTGCCAATATGCCTCACATTCAGTGCCCGTGTGCGTCGATAGTTTCTGTCGTTCTGTATGACTGCACGGGTGGCCTCAATGCCGGGCTGTGTTATCATTTTGCGGTGTGTGGGTGCAGGTGGAGTATGAGACGGTGGCGGGGTGGCAAGAGGACATCACAGACGTGCGCACGTTCGAGGAGCTGCCGGCCAACGCACAGGCGTATGTGCGGCGCATAGAGCAGCTGCTGGATGTGCCCGTGCGCTTCATTGGTGTGGGGCCCGGCCGAGATGCCATGATCGTGCGCACGTCAGAGTGACGCCCATTCTAGCGAATAAGATGGCATTGCTGTAGCTACCACTGTCATTATTGTTTGAAAAAAGTAAAAAAATAGAAATATTCAAATCCCTCTTGCAACAGTGTAACTGATGATGATCACGAGGTTTCAGAATGAAATGGTTGGCTTCGCTGTGATCGAGGCACTACTCCACACAGATTCCATCTTGGCGCGTATCAGATATCGCGTATTTTGACTCTCATTCTGTCGTCGTTCCATAAGCTTGGTGCCGACTGGTCACTTATTACGCAACATCCGCGTCGCTCTCACCTCCTCAGACTCGTGAATCGGCGCGCAGCGGGGACTCGGCGGGCAGGATGCAGATCTTCGTGAAGACGCTGACGGGGAAGACCATCACGCTCGAGGTGGAGAGCAGCGACACCATCGACAATGTCAAGGCCAAGATCCAGGTACGCTCCCCCGCTCCCCCGCGCCCCCGCGCCCTTGCGCCCGCCCTCGCGCCCGCGCTCGCTCGCTTGGTCGCTCCCTCCCTCCCTCGCGCCCCCGTGCCCTTGGTTCCCCGCCCTCCTTCCCCCGCGCCCCCGCGCCCTTGGTTCCCCGCCCTCCTTCCCCCGCGCCCTCGCTCCCCTGCGTCATCGCTTCCTCGCGCTCTTGCCCCCTCGCCACTGCACCGGGCAAGGACTCGCGCTGCCGCCGCCGTGCTAGTAGCTGGAGTGCTATCCTGGTTGCGACGCGTGTTCTGAGGCGGTGCGTGCTGTGTGCGGCGCGCAGGACAAGGAGGGCATTCCGCCGGACCAGCAGCGGCTGATATTCGCGGGGAAGCAGCTGGAGGACGGGCGGACCCTGGCGGACTACAACATCCAGAAGGAGTCGACGCTGCACCTGGTGCTGCGGCTGCGCGGCGGCATGATGATCAAGGTGAAGACGCTGACGGGCAAGGAGATTGAGATCGACATTGAGCCCACGGACACCATCGAGCGCATCAAGGAGCGCGTCGAGGAGAAGGAGGGCATCCCGCCCGTGCAGCAGCGGTGAGCACGGAGGGCAGGTTGCGCCTGGGTGCATGTGTGGTGCTCATGGGTGTGTTGGTGTTGTTGCGTTGCACCAACTCACCACTCAGTGGGTTCTTGTTCATAAGCGTCCCATGCCACCCCATTCCATCCCACCCAATGCCATCCCATCCCATGGCATGGCATGGCATGGCAGGTTGATCTTTGCGGGGAAGCAGATGAACGATGAGAAGACGGCCAAGGACTACAACATAGAGGGCGGCTCCGTGCTGCACCTCGTGCTCGCCTTGAGAGGCGGCTCCGCCCCCTGCTAGATGCGCCATGCTCCACACCCCACACCACACTCCTTTTCTAGTTGCTGTAGTTACCATAGTGGTGCAGGCCCTAGGGTAGTGGACGTGGCAAGGCGATTGCCTCGTTGGCTTTCCCTTATCATTGCATTGTGTTGTGAAGGCTCCGAAGTGCATGCATTATTAACCCAGAAGACAACAGCAGGAGCACGGAACCTAGACGGGGTCAATGAGGGTGACGGACAGGCCGAGGGAGGAGAGCTGCGGCATGACGGCAGCAGCGTCCGCCACCACCACGATGGGCTGCTCCCCAGGGTGCAGGCGGCGCTGCGCCGCTGCCAGCACGGCCTCGGGGGAGAGTGCTTCCACGCGGCGCTTGAACTCAAAGATGAAGTCCTGATCGATGCCAAACAGCTCGTACGTCATTATGCGACTCAGCTGTGCTCCACTGCCAGTGGGCACGTGCATGGGGAGGAGAGGCATGCGGGAATGAGGTTGCAGAGCACATAAGCAGTGGAATAGCTTGGAGTGACGAGACATATGGGAGAGGTGGGTGTGCATGGAGAGGAGAGGTACCTGTCAGCGAAGTTGAATACGAAGGAGTTGAGCACCCGGTCCTTGGCCTCCTGTAGCTCGCCTGCACTCCACTCCACAGCAGCACCGCCACACACACATGAGGTGACAATGGATGAGTGCCTTTGCCGCACGCAACAGCTGCTGAGGCATGAGGTGCCAGGCAGTGGCAGTGGGGGCCTCACCCGGTGAAGGTGGTAACAGCGTGGCCTCGCCCAGCACGCGCTGCACTGCTGTGACGAACTGCCCCACTGCCTCCGCCCTCGTCTCCCCACCCCCCACAAACGCCCCCTGCACGCATGGGACACACACCGGCACAACTGCTGGTGAGAGAGAGCAGGTGTTGCACTCATGGGCAACGGGAGCTGAGAGAGCAGCGCAGAGCAGGCAAGATAGTTAAGGGCGAGCAGGAGTGAGGTAGGGCAGAGAGAGCAGGCAAGCACAGGCGGGCAGTGGCAGCAGCAGCGGCACGCACCCGGTGGTCAACGCCTGGCGACCACGAACCCGACACCGAGTATGCCAGACCCTCCCTCGACCGCACCTGCGAGGGGAGGAGAGGGACGCATGGGCATTTGCACACACACGAGTCCATTTGGGAGCAGGTTTTACAGCAGCAAAGGGGAAAAGGGAGTGAAAGGAGAAACAAGGAAAGTTGGCGTGAAGGAAGAGGCAGCGAAGGAGGTGGAGAAAGGGGAGAGGTGGAAGAGGGTGTGTGGGTTTGGGAGGTGACCTGGTCGAAGAGGCGGCCACCGAAGCCATTGAGGATTGCGTTGAGCACGTCCAGTGCAAACACGTCCTCGTCGCTGATCGTGATGCCCAGCTCTCCCACGCGCACTATGCTGCGAGGGGGGGAGGAGAGGCAGGTGAGAGGAAGCACAAGGAGTGCAAGCAAGGCATGAGGTGGGTGGTCAGCATTGCCATGGGGTGAGCTGCGAGCCCGCACTCACATCCACACCTCTGCCTCACTCTGCCCTGCGTGCCCCTTCACTCTGCCCTGCGTGCCCCTTCACTCTGCCCTGCGTGCCCCTTCACTCTGCCCTGCGTGCCCCTTCACTCTGCCCTGCGTGCCCCTTCACTCTGCCCTGCGTGCCCCTTCACTCTGCCCTGCGTGCCCCTTCACTCTGCCCTGCGTGCCCCTTCACTCTGCCCTGCGTGCCCCTTCACTCTGCCCTGCGTGCCCCTTCCCTCTGCCCTGCGTGCCCCTTCCCTCTGCCCTGCGTGCCCCTTCCCTCTGCCCTGCGTGCCCCTTCACTCTGCCCTGCGTGCCCCTTCCCTCTGCCCTGCCCACACCCCTGCCCCACACGCACCTCTGGGTGAGCCCGGGGCGGTCCACCACATACACGCCCGCTGCGCTGGCTGCCACGCCCTCCTCCGGGCCCCAGTACGGCACCGCCCGCCCCTTGGCAGCGCGCCGCGCAGGGGTGGCGGGGGCAGCGGGCCAGGCGAGGAAGGTGTCTTCCAGCAGCGCGCGCATGCTCCGCGCGTCAAAGTCGCCCCACACTCCCAGCACTGCCTGCGATGGGTCGCTGTAGGAAGCTGCGTGGAAGGCGCGCAGGTCGGCGAGGGAGATGCGGGCGACGTCAGCAGCGAGGGGGTAGCGGCCGCGTGGGGAGGCGGGGCTGTAGAGCAGGCGCTGCAGCTCCCTTGATGCCACCCGCCCTGGCTGGCGTGGGGGTGTCAGGGAGTAGGAGGGAGGGGTAGGAGAAATGGATGGAAGGTGGGGAAGGAGGTGGGGGCGTGATGCAATGTCCTTGGCTTGTGGAGGGCTACACAGTGGCTCATTTACGGATGAACGAGCGTGGCATGGGCATGGGCATGGGCATGGGCATGGGCATGGGCATGGGCATGGGCATGGGCATGGGCATGGGCATGGGCATGGGCATATGAGAGGCGTACAATGAGCAGGTTGGGACAGGGGGTGGGTGGGAGTGGGTGGGGGCGTGGGTGGGGGCGTGGATGGGGGGAGGGCATGCATGGACGCACATCATCGTTGCGGCGGGCGATGGAGCCGAGCAGCTGCGTGCGCGAGAAGGCCAGCTTGGATGCTGGTAGCAGCGGTGCCAGCACCACTGGGGGGGGCGGGAGAGGGGAGCCACGGAGTCGGGGGGAGAAAGGAGGACATGAGTGGGGAGGAAAGCGAGGGGGTTCACAGGAAGAGCAGGGTGAGAATGTCTAGAGCCTGGGCTCAACACATTTGCATGGAGCAGAGGCAGGCAGGGGCGGGCAAGGGCGAGGAGGGCGGACCATCGCGGAGCAGTGGGAGCAGGGTGGGGGCGTCCTCTTGCAGGCAGCGGAAGGACGCTGAGAGCGATGAGGTGCCCGCTGATGTCTCTATTGACGCCGCCATTGCCTGCCCGGGGGGGCATGCACAGGGGTGCACGAAGATTGGCACACGCAGAGGGGCACATGCAGAACGCAGGAGCGACGAGCAAGGATAGATTGAAGGGATGGCGGCTCTGCTGGGATGGGGGCTGTAACGGGATGAAATGAATTCCGCGAAGGTGCGAGAGAAAGAGAGTTGCACTGCACCAATGGGGTGGGCGGTGCATGCTGGGCGGACCTCAAGCGTGTCATCGAGGTGCTCCTCGGGGTACTGCTGCGTGCCCCCACTGCGCTGCACCGCCGCCATCATGCCCGCCACTCCCACCTGTGCACACAGGGGGGGAGAGCACAGAAGCATAAATGCCTACTGCTTGCATACATGCATGGCCATGGACTCATGAGTCATGGGAAAAGCATGGCAAGGATTCACACCCTCCCCTAGCAACCGATAACTGGCCAGGCACATGCATGGTGGGAGGCGCACACATGCATGGTGGGAGGCGCACACATGCATGGTGGGAAGCGCACACATGCATGGTGGGGGGGACACGCATGCATGGTGGGGGGGACACGCATGCATGGTGGGGGGGGCACGCATGGGGACCGGCACATGCACGCATGGGGGACATGGACCCACCTTGTCGGGCGCTTCATACTGCGCCCCGCCCTTCACGAGCAGCTGCCCACCCACCTGTGCGCATGCACATACACGGTTGGACAGACAGACAGTAGAGTGAGCGTCATGTGCGAGTGAGTGGTGGTGTCACAACGAGGCACGGGCGGTATGAGTGCATCAATCTGGCCCCTCTCAACCTCCCGCCTTCACCTCACCAGCCCCACGCAGCGCTCACCAGCCCCAGCTCGTGGTCTTCGAGCAGAAAGACGCGCAGGCCGTTGGGCAGCACGAACTGGCACGCACATAAGGGAAGAGGAGGGGGAAGGCACGACAGAGAAGCGCCATGAGAAGCATGGGTGCGTGTGAGACACGTGGTTCTGAGAGGTGCAGTGGTTCGAACGGCATGAGAGGTGGCGGGCAGAGGGCAGGCGGGCGAGGGGGGAAGTAGAGGGGCATGCGGCATGGGTTACGCAGGTAAGGGCGCGCACCTGTTCGTAGGGCGGCAGGGCGGGGTCAGGCAGGGGCGGGAAGGCCGTGGGGATGGGCGGCAGGTGGCGGGTGGACGCGCGCGCGCTCACACGGGCTGAGGGAGAGGGGGAAGGCCGCAGGGGAAGGAGCGGAATGGAGGGGGCGCACACTCAGCAATGGCAGGTGCGCTGCAAGGGGGATGCGGACGAGCGGCGAGAGAGGGTCGTTGGACAGCGGGCCAGTGCGCAGCGATCTGCTGGTCGGAGGGCGGACGGGGAGGGGGGCCAGTTGCGGCGGCTCTTAGTGAGGCAGCGTGCACGCACCCTTTCTGCCCCTGCGCCGCATCGGCGGCACCTCTGGCATCCACCTGGAAAGGCGCCCGCCTCCATTCCGCCATGTCGCGTTGCTGCTGAGAGCGCCGAGCGCGGACGGCGCTGAGCCAGCAGCGCGACGGCCGGTGAGTACAGGCGCCGAGGCGGGCACAGCTGCCATGCCTGGCGCCGCTGTAGGGTGCCTGGCGCCGCTGTAGGGTGCCTGGCCTGAGCGGATGGGCGCCAATTGATGCACAACGAGCGCACACGGCGGCGCGACGTCCCAAGTTACTCGGTACTCGGTAGTGCGTGGGCGTTTCGTGCAGAGATGCACTTGGCAGGGAGAGTAGTGCGCGGCATTGTCTGCTCTCTTGGCGCCATCCTCTCAGATTAAAGCTGATGCGTTATTGAATATAATTTCCCGTGCTACATTGTTTAGCTATTATACAAAAAAGCATGGCTAGAACAGAACAGGTGAGAAAAGCACAGCAAAAAGCTGGCCAAAGGTGCCTTGAAGCAGCAATTACATTCTGCAGTGATCAACAAAGGCCACGTCAGGAGTACAGCAAAAATGGCCGTTTTCTCGAGAGCAAGGGGGCGTCATTGCACAGCGGAGCTGTGAGGCGAGCGATTGAGGGAGGCCCAGGAGGTGTCGGTGACAACCTGGCGCATGTCCTCCCAGTCGGTGTTGGCCAGCGCGTAGTAGCGGTTGTCCCTCACTCCTATGCAGTTGAAATGCGCCATTCGCCAACACGTCCCGTTCTGCCTCACCATCCATGCACACACACGCACCGCACAAGGGGGGGGAAGGCATGTGAGGTGCATGGCTTGGGGCCTCATTGGGTCAGAGACCAAGAAGAGCACGCGCTGAGAGAAGCATCATGACGCCGCTATCCCAATGCAGCACACAGCACCACCACAGAAGCAGCAGTAGCAACCCAGCAATCCAGCAGCTCAGCAGCACCTGGTCCTTGTCGCACCTGGTCCTTGTCGCATGCACACAGCGCACCTGGTCCTTGGCGCATGCACACAGCGCACCTGGTCCTTGGCGCATGCACACAGCGCACCTGGTCCTTGGCGCATGCACACAGCGCACCTGGTCCTTGGCGCATGCACACAGCGCACCTGGTCCTTGGCGCATGCACACAGCGCACCTGGTCCTTGGCGCATGCACACAGCGCACCTGGTCCTTGGCGCATGCACACAGCGCACCTGGTCCTTGGCGCATGCACACAGCGCACCTGGTCCTTGGCGCATGCACACAGCGCACCTGGTCCTTGGCGCATGCACACAGCGCACCTGGTCCTTGGCGCATGCACACAGCGCACCTGGTCCTTGGCGCATGCACACAGCGCACCTGGTCCTTGGCGCATGCACACAGCGCACCTGGTCCTTGGCGCATGCACACAGCGCACCTGGTCCTTGGCGCATGCACACAGCGCACCTGGTCCTTGGCGCATGCACACAGCGCACCTGGTCCTTGGCGCATGCACACAGCGCACCTGGTCCTTGGCGCATGCACACAGCGCACTTGGTCCTTGGCGCATGCACACAGCGCACCTGGTCCTTGTCGCGGGCGTTGAGGCCGAGGAAGCGGGGCTTGGAGCAGCCGGAGACGTTCCAGATCTTGGGCAGGGTGCGGCACTTGTCGGGGTTGTTCATGCACATCATGGTGAACACCCACTGGTCGCCCGGCCTGAACCCCCACACCTCCATCGCTTTCTGCTCGCCAAACGCCTCCATCACCAGCTGCCATGCCATGCACACGGACACGCACACACATGCAGGGGGACGCGCACAGGGGGGATGCTCCACGGCTTGGACCACCCCTCAACGCCAACAACCTAGAGCCTAGAGGCCGTGAGCATAGCGACAGTGGGCGAGGGTGTCATCAGGGTGGGGCGGGCGGGCATACGCGGGTGAGGTTGTGCAGGGGCGGGTGGGGAGTGCAGGGGCGGGCGGGCATACGCGGGTGAGGTTGTGGCGGCGGAGGCGGTCGAGGTCCATGATGAGCTGGCAGGAGCAGAAGGGGTAGCGCGAGCGCGGGCCGTAGGCGGTGGGGTGGTTGTCGCCCATGAAGAGCAGCAGGTCGGGGTCCGCGTCCATCTCGCGGAAGTACCCCCACAGCGCGCCCAGGTCCTCCGCCGCCACCATGTCCACGTCCAGGTAGATGGCGCGCCGCACGTTCCACAGGATCTCCGGCAGAAACAGCTTTGCAAACCCCGCCTCGCCCGAGTGGTGCGTTATGTTTATCCCCAGCAGCTCCGCCTGACACCCCGCCGCGCGGAAGGACGAGGGGGGGGATGGATGCGCGCATGCAGCTGAGCTGGTGGTGCTACAAGATACGGTGCGCGCATGGAACGCAAAATAAGGGGTAGCAGTGACGTGTGGTTGAAGGCGGCGCACTTGCCTTATGGCGAACCCAGCAGACAGGGATGGGGTGGATGGTGTAGCCCACTGGAGGATCGTCCGCCACCTGCATGCACGCACGCACCCACACAGCGCACAGCGCACGCACTCTCACGTCAATACAAAACCTCCAACTTCCTGGACGCCTTGCACTGAATGCGTGGCTCACGGCCCGCCAGGCACGGCACACGGCAGGAGTGACGCACGGCGGGACGGGCGCGCGGACCTTGTCGTCGTGGTTGGGGTCGTAGCTGATCTGGTCGACGAGCGCGTCGATGTCGTGGCGCACGAGGTTGGGCGACACGGGCCCCACGGCGTCGAAGGGCACGGCGCCGAGCTGCTCCATCATGTCGGAGATGCCCCACTCCTCCGCCTCGCCCGACACCATGAAGTGGAAGAATAGCCGGCACTGCGTCGACATCAGGATCGACTTGAGAATCACCTCCGTCTCGTCGCGCGTGAACGGCTCGCGGTCCCATTGCGCGCTCACCAGCACGATGTGGATGCGCTCGTTCACCGTGCAGTTGCTCACCGGCCGCGGGAGCGAGCACGGGCCCGACGGCCGAAACCCGATGATACGGACTACGCGCTCGGTGTCTGCGAATTCCTCACTGCCGATTAGCCACGCGACGGTGGGAATTAGAAAGATTCGGACGAAATGGACGATCGCAAAGGTGACGAGGAGGACTCGAAACGCGCCCCCTGGCTGGTTGAATGCTTGGTTGAAGGCCTTCATGACTAAAGGTTGCTGGACGGAGAAGTTGGTGAATGACTTGTCAAAACAAAAATTTAATTATTATACTTACGTTACGACTAGATTCGTCCGTTGTCGTCCAGCCTGGTTAGGATACCTGGCTTTCACCCAGGCGACCCGGGTTCAAATCCCGGCAACGGAGCATTTTTACTTCTGTTGAAGCTGTTATTTTGGCGAGTGTAATGGGAACAGTGTAAACGTGCTTACAAAGTGTTACGGGTTATTTTACTGTTCAAGGGTGGTTTACCCTAAACAGTACCCCAACCTCATCCCAACCTTATCTTCATCCAACTTATCCAAGATTTCCAAGATTTCCTAGTGCCACGTGGAACTCTATCTTTTTTGTCTCTACTTTCTAATCCCACGAAGTACATTCCAACAATCGCTCTTGCATGCTACTTAAACCTTGCTTGTACTTGCCATTATGAATCAATTCTTATTCAACCATTACTCAGTTACTTCTTCGCCTCTTTCGCTAGTAGTTCTTTTGCCAAAGTCTTCCGCTGCGTTTTCATCCTCGACTTAGTCGACCCCGCTATTCTTTAGCGGATTAAGGCCAGCGGGCCTATCATTTGGTATCAGAGCCTTCGCAGGGAGCGACTTCCAACGAGCGACCGTCGACGACGAGACTACGACGCCATCGTCCCGCGGTGCCAACTTGCAGACTTGGATTCGTCGAGCTAACATGGACGAGACCATGAACGCTCTCCCCAACGATATGGGCAACATGCTTGCTCAACTCATGCGCCAACTCGAAACGTTGACGTTGGAAAATCGCCAGTACGTGCTGAAATGTAACAGCTTCGTGATGAGAAAAGAAGAACGAGAATGAAGGAGAGTGGTTTCACTAGCAGCAATGAGAATACATATAGCAAACCCCAGATGGGTTGTACTCGCTATAGAGTACCCCACTACAGGCTAGAGAATGACATTCTGACACACCCCCATAGCCAAAGTGGGGTGTAATCAGCACAATGAGCAAACAGGCATAGAGCAGGAGTTCACAATAGGTAAGTAAGGCTAGAGCTAATCACAGAGGGCAAGCGAGGAGGAGGAGAGACTGTGGGGGAGAGAAGATGGGAGGCGACTGCTGACGCTGCAGACACACAGACGAGCTGCTGGCTCAGTGGCTACCGAAGCAAAGGCCCGGACTATAGGAGTAACTGGCTCCGCGGCTAAAAGTAGTGGCAGACGAGCAACTGATCCACAGGCGACTGGCGACTACCGGAGATTGTAGCCTCCGGACTGCTAGTGCTGCTGACGACAAGACTGCTGCCTCCACGCAACCTCCCCCAGCTGCCCAACGCCCCTCTCACACACCCCCTGCTCAAACCCTAACCCTACACCCACAGCACCCCCGTAAACCCTAAACCCCAGACGCCCACACATCCACCTCCCTCAAAACTCTAGCTCCACTCCCACAGTACCCCCCTTAAACCCTAAACCCGAGGCTCCCACACATCTACCCCCCTCAGCGACAGTTGCAGCAGTGGGAGACGAAGGAGGAGGAGGAGCACGGGAGACTACACACCCGTCACCCCCTTCTTGCCACCCCCAAACCCTAACACAGGGCGGGATGGCGGGTAGGGGGGGGGGGGGGGGGGGGGGGGGGGGGGGGCGACGCGCGGCCTCCCAGGGCGCCAAAGCAGGCGGCAGAAGGGGCGACGCTCGCCCCCCCCCCCCCCCCCCCCCCCCCAGGTTCGGCCCCCAAAGGAGCCGCGACGGGCGACGGGAAAGGGGGGGGGGGGGGGGGGGGGGGCGGTGCACCGGTGCGCCGCGGCTGGCGGCGGGGCATGGCCGGGGCGGGGCCGGGGCCGCTGTAGGCGGCGACGGGGCCAAGGAAGGGCGGCGACGGGGCCGCTGAAGGGCGGCGACGGGGCCAGTGGAGGGCGGCGACGGGGCCGCTGAAGGGGTGGCGGCAACGGGGCCGCTGAAGGGGCGGCGACGGGGCCGCGGAAGGGCGGTGACGGGGCCGCTGAAGGGCGGCGACGGGGCCGCTGTAAGGGGCGGCGACGGGGCCGCGGAAAGGGCGGCGTCGGGGCCGCTGAAAGGGCGGCGACGGGGCCGCGGAAGGGCGGCCACGGGGCCGCTGAAAGGGCGGCGACGGGGCCGCGGAAGGGCGGCGACGGGCCGCGAAAGGGGCGGGGACGGGGCCGCGAAGGGGCCGCGAGGGGCCTGGAAGGGCGGCAACGGGGCCGCGAAGGGGCCGCGAGGGGCTAGGAAGGGCGGCAACGGGGCCGCTAAGAGAAGCGCGAGGGGCACGCCACGAGGCGTGCCGAGCACAGAGTAGCAGCGGAAGCAGTTGGGTCCTAGGATCGAAACCACTCTGATAAAATGAGAAAAGTTGAACGAGAATGAAGGAGAGTGGTTTCACTAGCAGCAATGAGGATACATATAGCAAACCCGAGATGGGTTGTACTCGCTATAGAGCACCCCACTACAGGTTAGAGAATGACATTCTGACACGTGAATTCGCGTCAATTCCTCTTGGTCATCCCGCACCATCTCTTGCACCAAACACGTCAACTGGCGCGGAAGCGCTGCCGGAACGTCGAAGCGCGCTCAAGCCGCAGATACCCGAGCCGTTCGACCCAAGTCAACGCGACGCAAACGTGCAGACATGGATCTTCATGCTGAACAACTACTTCGCCACGAGCGGGGTGCAAAAGGCGGACGCGCAGCAGTGGATCGACTACTCCGTTACGTTGCTGAGGGGCCCGGCCTTGGAGTGGTGGCGCCAACTCACACAAACTGCTGTAAGAAGGGCTCATTTGGACGGGCATCAACAGGGCGAGGGGCATGCAGCTGCAACTTCGAGCTTATGGAGTTTAGCTTTGGGTGTTACCACGGTTCCGACGACATGGGAAGGATTTGAAGCAACGTTGAAAAGTAGGTTCGACTTGGTGAATGCCTCCGAAGCTGCTAGGAAGCGTCTACGTCATTTCCGACAGATAGGAAACGTTCAGGAGTACACACGACGGTTCTTGAGCATCTGCAACGAGATAGACGATATCACGGAAGCAGAGATGCGCGATCGCTACCTCGAAGGGTTGAAGCCGGACATAGCGGAGATCATAGCGATTCACGGGTTGTCCACCTTCGAGTCGGTAGTCGCAGCAGCAGAACGCGTCGACGCAGTACGAAGCCGACGGGGTCGTGACGATCGCGATAGTGGATACAACAAACCGATCAACGACGCTCGATTGAGGGACGGACCGTCGCCCATGGAAATTGGTGCAGTTAACAGTGACGACTCACAAAAAACAAGTTTTAGGGGGAACTGTCACTACTGCAAAAAGCTGGGACACATGAAGCGGGACTGCCCACAGCTTAAGGAGCGGCAGCAGGGAAACGGAAACCGCTAGTAGGTAGCGGGTAGCTAGCTGGTGTGAGCGCTTCCGAACCCGCCAAATCTACCAACGTAGAGGAGACGGCCTTAGAGCAGTCATTTACGCCGACCGAGGTAGACACTGTTGATCATCCAGTCGTGTTTCTAGGGAAGCTTCGTGGAGTTCCGGTCAAGATTCTCGTAGATAGTGGAGCTAGCCACTCTTTTGTCTCTTCATCGCTAGTTAGTCGTCTCCATCTCGAAGCAGATTCGGCAGTCAACTTCGAAGACGCACGCATGGTAGATGGCACGTCTCTCCACATAGGACCAGTCATCCGCAAGTTGCGCGTAGTGCTAGGACAAATCACGGTTAGGCGTGACTTCGACTCTGCGACGCTGGACGGTTATGACTTCATCTTCGGTAGAGATTGGCTACGAACGGTTAGTACTCAGTTCGATTGGGCTCAGGGAAGCTGCAGCGTCAAGGTAGACGGGGAGTTCCGGGAACTGCCACAGTGGAGCGATGGGGCCACATCATCCACAGCTATCATCAATGTTGTTCGTGTGTGGCAGCTGGTGAAGCGTGCGACACGGATCTTTGCGGTTTTCCTTGAGGAGGTGGAAGCTGAGGAGGCGAAAGGAGGGAGTGCAGCAGTTGGTGAGAAGGTGACTCTTCCTGCTGAGGTGAGTGCACTATTAGCAGATTTCGCAGACGTCTTTCCCGGCGAGTTGCCCCCAGGGTTGCCTCCCAGCCAAGCAGTAGACCATCGGATAGAGTTGGAGCCGGGAAGCAGACCAGTAGCGAAGCCGCAGTGGAGGTTGAGTCCAGCAGAGACAGAGGAGATGACGCAGCAGGTTAGGCATTTTCTCGCTCAGGGGTTCATACAACCATCTAGATCGCCTTGGGCGGCACCGATCCTTTTCGCGCCTAAGAAAGTCGGGGGGTTACGGATGTGCATAGACTACCGCGCACTGAACACCGCCACCGTCAAGAACAGATTCCCAGTGCCGAGAGTAGAGGATCTTCTCGATGCAGTGCAGGGCTCTAGAGTCTTTTTAAAGATCGACCTTCGTTCGTGTTACCACCAGATTCGAGTAGTTCCGGAGGATCAGGACAAGACGGCGTTTCGTACGAAGCAGGGGTTGTACGAGTTTAGAGTTCTACCGTTCGGTTTGACCAACGCCCCAGCGACGTTTCAAACGCTCATGAACACCGTCCTCTCTGAGTTCCTAGGTTCGTTCGTCGTAGTTTACATAGACGACATTCTCATCTTCTCCAAGACGAAAGAGGAGCACGTGCAGCACTTGCAGAAGGTCTTCGAGGTCTTGCGTAAGGAGCAGCTATACGCTAAGCAGTCGAAGTGCGAGTTCTTCCTCCCCGAGGTCGAGTTTCTAGGTCACGTCGTTTTGGCTAGTGGCATTAGGACCGACCCAAAGAAGATCGCAGCCGTACAGGATTGGGTAGCTCCGACCTCAGTCAAGGAGTTGCAGAGCTTCCTCGATTTCGCAAATTATTACCGTCGTTTCGTTCAGGGTTACACTTCCATTGCTAGTCCACTCACCGACCTACTTCGGAAGGGATGGATGGAGTTCATGGAGGGGAGTTTCCACTACAGGATAGAGTACAAGCTAGGCGTGGGCAGCCCAGCAGATC